AGTTGCAGTTTAGAAGGTTAAGGCTTTAGAAGACTCTAAAATTATTTTCTCTTTTTAACATACACACACACCCTCAGTCTCCTGCTTATTTTTAAAATAATAAACATGAAAGAAAGCTTACCGCCTCAGTCTGCTCCATCTGGCATGCATTCTTTGGTTATATGTTTGATTTAATGCCTTAGCAGAGACCTCACTTCATATTATGTTTCTTATACTTTCCTGGAGTTTGAAGTTTACAGAAGAAAATACCTTTTCTAAACTGCTTTCATCCTCGGTCTTTGTATCCTGCTTTTGTTTGTAATTAGATTCAACATTTCTAAACTCCCAAATAGAAAAGATCAGTCTTGGCAGGTCTTTTTCAATTTGAAAGACTCAGCAAGCTTGATCCTTGATTGTTTTGCAGCTTTAATTATTTTGACTATGGCATGATATTAATCCTCTCATCCCTGAAGCACTCTTAAATTATCAGTGAGTAGACATAAAATTTTATCTTCATCAATCTTTGATTCTTTTCCTGACACAACTTCAAAGGTGTTAAGATATTTTGTTTCTCCTATAAACATTCTGAATACAACATGAATCCAAAAAATATAGGGTCATCCACTTGCTAGCTTTGCTTTGGCATAAAATAACAATTCTCCTCTCAAAGATACTTAATTGGTACATGAGTTTAGAAGAGAAGAACTGGAAAATGCAGAGGAAAAACTTTATAGATTTTTGAATTTTGCCTAGGATTGTACTAGGGAGGAACAAATCTGACTCTATATTGGATCTATTTCATTTACTTTAACTACTGTATTCTCCTGCTTTTGTTCCAAATTAATCACTAAAGTGATACTGCTATAGCTTAAAGTATACAAAATGGCCCACCTCCTGGAACCCTGCCTTCCATACCTGAGTGTTAAGCTAAAATACCTTTGTTTAAGCTCACAGGAAACATCCTGACCATGCCCACCAGTAAGTAACTGCGGGGAAAAAAAGGAATTAACACATCCTCTCCAGGACGGAACCAGGAACTATTTGCAACAACTTACCACCTTTTCACTTTACTTCCTTACCTCCCTCTATTTTATAAAAGAAACGAGCATCCAAATCCAGGCAAAATGGTTCCCTGGAACACTAGTTCACTATCTTCTCAGTTTGCTGGCTTTCTGAATCAAGTCACTACTCCTTGTCCTAACAGCTCATCTCTAGATTCACTGGCCTATAGTGCGGAGAGCAGTACAGGCTTGGACTCAGCAACAGGATTAGCTCATAAATGATTTTCTATCACCATAATATTTGACGAAATTGGAACTTGTTTTAACATATTTTTAGGTTATTTAGGGTTTCTAGGGTAACATCCCATGGTTTGGGGGAAATAACACAGCCTTCGGATTTGGATAAAGCTTCTAATCCTAGTCAATAATTTTATAGCTTTGTTGTCTGGGGATATTCTCTCTCTCCAGGTCTCAGTTTCTATTTTGTAAACAAACTACATTTTAGAGCTCTTAGGAAGTCTGGATGGCATGGTACTGTAAGTTTCTACAGCACGTATCTGTGATAGTACCTCCATCCTTCACTTACTCTTTCTCCTTTCACCAAAGCCCAATACTGTAAGGACATCCAGACTCCTCCACAAGGCACTGTGCTTTGGGGGAGGGAATTCTTATCCCAGCATTAAGGGTACTTCTTAATTGGGCTAATCTAATCATGGCATTCCCATTTTGCTTGCCAGTGACTGGATTAGGTGTATGATCCAATTATGGGCAAGAAATACGAGGGGCAGTCTTCACAGAAGGTATGAAAACGTTTCTTCCCTCTAAAAGTGAAACTTTATAACTCACATTCTCTTTCCAGATATGTGTTAATGTCTGAATATAATGCCAGGGGATACTGTAGCCAACTTGCTATGAGCCTATGGAGAAAATGAAGCAGAAAATGGCAGAAAGATGTTGGTGTTCTACCTGTTATCACTAATCATCTGAGTAACTTGCTGGGACTACAAGAACTCTAGACTTTTTGTTGTGGAGATGATAAATTTTCCTTGATTTTAAATAGAATGAAATAGTTGCTGTAATTTACAAACAAGACATTCTAACCAACAGTGATGACGACAGTATGTGGTAAGTGTTCAATAGATGTTATTTTCCTTATTTCCCATTTATCCCTAGAAGTGTTACAGTATGTATACCTAAAATTATTTAGCTTGATACCAATCTAAATGCTGTATAGAAAAAAATGGTTTGATCAACTGCTTAACTTGAATCCATGGGGGAAATTTATAACCAGTGCTAATTATGTGCTAAGTTCATCCTCATTTAAGAATGAAATTAGCATAATTTGACTAGATATCTCAGTGTAGAAATGAGATGAGAAATCACTTTATTTTGCCCATTAAGATATAATTCTGCATTTTTAAAGGTTGACATTAGTTCAAACTAAAAATTATTTTATTATTACATATTAAAATCAATAGAATATTGATACAATTAAAAGCATACTGAGCATCCAGCATACTAAGGGATCATAAAATGTATATTTCATTCTAATAATAAAGTTAAAGAAAACAGTTAAAAGCTAATGAGGATAAGCATACATAAGTTATCTTTATTTCTCATCTAGAAAATATACTCAAGGAGCTAATTCAGTTTTTTTTTTTTCAGTAAACTGTATAATTCATATCTATGTTGTTTCTATGAGTGGAGAAAAAAAATCAAGGAACTTAACTATAGATGGCAGTTCAGAGCTTTCCTTGATTAAACTGGGAACATTCAGAAGAAAAACAAAAAACAAAAAACAACTCCCTAAAGGAAGGAAGCTCTTGACACCAGGCAGCCCTGAATAAGTCCTGGGAAGGAGTTATTTTTTTTAACTTTGTTAAGAATAATAGGGTGAGTTTCAAAACAGCATTCTAATTAAGGACTAGAAATAAAATAAAAGATTTGGATAAAGTGATGACAGTTAAGGATCTTATCCTCATTTGAATTCTTTTAACAATTACTGTCCAAACCATATTTATGGCATTTACTTTTGACTGCATTCCTTTGCATTGTGTGTGTGTGTGTTTGTACCTCTTTTTTTCAGTCCTAGCGGACTGTAATTTTAAATAGCTAAGATGCAGTCTCCATCCTTGCCTTTTCTATTTTTCTCTTGGCACAGAAGAAAGATTTATAAATCGTAGGCTTTTGATAAATTTTGTAGATGAGTGAGGGATAAAGTAGAACTATAATTTATAATTTGTTTACTTTTAAGAAAATTTAACTGTTTTTTGTGCTAATGCTGACATTTTTATAAGAAAAATACTATAAATGAAAAATCATCCTAATAACCTATAATTACCAAATTTACTATAAATATACATCCAAAGCATAAGTTACTAAAAAGTCACTCCAT